CCAGCACGACCACCCCCCCAGCACGACCACCCCCCAGCACGACCACCCCCCAGCACGACCACACCCCAGCACGACCACTCCCCAGCACGACCACACCGCCTTGGTTGAGTGGTTGCCTGTCGTCGTGGAATGTTTCGTGGTGTGTCTCGTGGAATGTTTCGCGGGGTGTCTCGTGAAATGTTTCGTGAGGTGTCTCGTGGAATGTTTCGTGAGGTGTCTCGTGGGCTGTTTCGTGAGGTGTCTCGTGGGATGTTTCGTGAGGTGTTGCCCAGTTGGGTATCATGAAAACGTGTCCATGCTCGACATGTCTATATCCCTTTCCGGGTTCGTGGGTCCATCATGTTATGGCGTTGTTTCTGCTTCGACCCCCGCCACTCTCTGCTCCACGGGCCTCTGGCAGCAGCTCGTGCTCGACGACAGCATGCGCCGCGCCGCGCCGCCCTCGAGGCAGGGCGCGTCCTCCGCGGCCTCCCGTGGAGGGGGGCGGGCCCCGAGGAGGGGAGGAGTAGGAGGAGGAGGAGGAGGAGGAGGAGGAGGAGGAGGAGGAGGAGGAGGAGGAGGAGGGGGAGGAGGAGGAGGAGGAGGAGGAGGAGGAGGAGAGGGGAAGGAGGAGAGGAGGAGAGAAGGAGGAGGAGGAGGAGGAGGAGGAGGGGAGGGGGCGCAGGGGTCGGATCGACTCGGCAGGAGGGAGCGTCGAGAACCTCAGCGCCGTCCGGGGCGCCCCTTGCAGGGGCGCCAGGGCGGAGAAAACTCTCAAAGACGGGAGGGCTGAGGGCGAAAAAGGGCGAGGGCAAGGACGAGGTAGAGGAGGGTGAGAAGGACACGGACGGATCTGTGGAGGTGACGGGGGAGATGGCGGAGGTGGAGGGGGGTTCTGCCCCAGGTGACGCCGCCTTCTGAGAAGACCAGCGAGCGCCATGCTGCCCTTCTTGGGTCGCAACATGATCAAGGTTCCCAGACCCAGACGTCATGATTTTTTTTCCCGGAAAGGGCGGGGGCCCAGGGTTCTCTTTTAGTAGGTAAACCTGTCCCCCGGTGCCAACTTGAGGGAGGCCGGCGAATTTTTTCCCTGATAAATAACGAGGTCGAAGGAGGCCGGCGAATTAAAATTTGAGGATGTCTCGAGCGAAACGCTTGTTTTTGAAATCCCGATCGATAAATCACAGGGTGCGGGCCACTTTTTCGTGTGTTGAGGATGTCTCGAGCGAAACGCTTGCTCCGTAGAGTTTGCCGAGGATGTCTCGAGCGAAACGCTTGTTTTGCAGAGCCGACCGCGACGCGGAAAAGCGCCCCGCGCGAAGGAATTTCGATGATGTCTCGACTAATTCCTTTGTTTTTGTACGATTTCCTGGAATTTTGGCAGGATGTCTCGAGCGAAATGCACGACCCCACCCTAGCACGACCATACCCCAGCACGACCACACCCCAGCACGACCAGACCCCAGCACGACCCCACCCCAGCACGACCCCACCCCAGCACGACCATACCCCAGCACGACCACACCCCAGCACGACCCGACCCCAGCACGACCCTACCCCAGCAAGACCACACCCCAGCACGACCACACCCCAGCCCGACCTCACCACAGCACGACCACACCCCAGCACGACCACGCCCCAGCACGACCACGCCCCAGCACGACCACGCCCCAGCACAACCACCCCCCAGCACGACCACCCCCCCAGAACGACCACGCCCCAGCACGACCACCCCCCAGCACGACCACACCCCAGCACGACCACTCCCCAGCACGACCACACCCAATCACGGGACCCACCCCAGCACGACCACACCCAGCCGACCCCACCCCGCCCCCAGGCAGGACCCCACCCCAGCAAGACCACACCCCAGCACGACCACACCCCAGCACGACCTCACCACAGCACGACCACACCCCAGCACGATCACGCCCCAGCACGACCCCGCCCCAGCACGACCACTCCCCAGCACGACCACCTCCCAGCACGACCACCCCCCCAGCACGACCACCCCCAGCACGACCACCCCCCCAGCACGACCACACCCCAGCACGACCACACCCCAGCACGACCACACCCAGTCGCACCCCCGTGGAATGTTTCGTGGGTTGTCTCGTGGAATGTTTCGTGGGGTGTCTCGTGGAATGTTTCGTGGGGTGTCTCGTGGAATGTTTCGCGGGGTGTCTCGTGGAACGTTTCGCGAGGTGTCTCGTGGGATGTTTCGTGAGGTGTCTCGTGGGATGTTTCGTGAGGTGTTGCCCAGTTGGGTATCGTGAAAACGTGTCCATGCTCCACATGTCTAAATCCCTTTCCGGGTTCGTGGGTCCATCATGTTTCGAATCGTCGACACCCGGAGGTCTCGACCCATTCTCTGGGACCAGTTTTTCATCCTGCATTGTTTTGTTGACGGTCCTGAGGCCCTGTAAGGGTCCCCAGAGGCCGAAAATAGCGAAAAGCATTGCGTCGTAATTTCTTCATGACTCGAGGAAGACAAGGCCTTCCTTCCAAACCAGTGAGAGCAGCAGTACGTGTGTCCGCCCCGCTCGGCGGAGAACTTCGGGTCCTGAGGGATGGGCCCAGAGGGCGAGGTGCCTCTCGAACAACGAAAACCCACCCTCGAATCTCTTTTCATCCTTAGGCCCCCATCCCCGAGGACCCCGTCTTTGAACCGCCGACTTCCCTGTTCCATGCGCAGCGGGGGACGGGGCAGGAGGGCGGAAAGCGCTGCGGGATCCGAGGGGGAGAGAAGGGCACGGGAGACCGGAGCAGGGGGGAGGAGGCTAGTGCAGGGAGGGGAGGAGGAGGAGGGAGGAGGGAGGAGGGAGGAGGGAGGGGGGGGGAGGAGGAGGAGGAGGAGGAGGAGGAGGAGGAGGAGGAGGAGGAGGAGGAGGAGGAGGAGGAGGAGGAGGAAGGAGGAGGAGGAGGCGGGAGGAGGAGGAGGACTTGACGGCCCCGCCCTACGCGCTCCCCCCCCCCCTCGCCTCCTGGCCGGCCGCCCCTGCCTGCAGCTTGCGCATCTTGCCTCTTCCTCCTCCTCTGCCCCAGCGCCGCCTGCGCCTGCGTTGTTTTGTTCGCACAGGCGTTAGCCTAAGGTCGCGTCTGTGTGGTCCGCCGCGGTGGTGGTTTAGGCACCGTCCCCCTCCGCGCGTGCTGTGTTTTCCCGGGCACCACGTTGGGGACGGGTGCCTCGGACCTCGTTTCTCTTCTCGGGAGGAGGAGGAGGGAGGAGGAGGAGGAGGAGGAGGAGGAGGAGGAAAAGAAAAGGAGCACGAGGAAAGGCAGGAAGAGGAGGAGGAGGAGGAGGAGGAGGAGGAGGAGGAGAGGAGGAGGAGGAGGAGGGAGGAGGGGGAGGAGAATGAGGGAGGAAGCGGGAGGACGAGGGCAGAGAAAGGGAGAAACGGTGAGGACGTGAGACGACGAGGGAGGGACAGGGAGGGACAGGGAGGAACCGGGAGAGAGGAGCAGGGCGCGACGGGGAGCATAACCGACAGGGCAGGGCGAGGCGCGCAACACGGACGCCAGGCGTGGCACTCTTGAAGGACGGCCGGCTTCCTCTGGGTGGTCTGGCCAGAACGCGCCCGCCAGCGAGCATCCAGCACACGACTTCTGAGCGCGCGTCGCTCCCGGAAGGCCGACGCACACGTGGTATACAGCTCATCGTTGTTCCCGGAAAGGGCGGGGGCCCAGGGTTCTCTTTTAGTAGGTAAACCTGTCCCCCGGTGCCAACTTGAGGGAGGCCGGCGAATTTTTTCCCTGATAAATAACGAGGTCGAAGGAGGCCGGCGAATTAAATTTTGAGGATGTCTCGAGCGAAACGCTTGTTTTTGAAATCCCGATCGCTAAATCACAGGGTGCGGGCCACTTTTTCGTGTGTTGAGGATGTCTCGAGCGAAACGCTTGCTCCGCAGAGTTTGCCGAGGATGTCTCGAGCGAAACGCTTGTTTTGCAGAGCCGACCGCGACGCGGAAAAGCGCCCCGCGCGAAGGAATTCGATGGGGTATGTGCATATTTCGATAAGTTGTTTGGTTATAGAGCTTTGCCTGGAATTTTGGCAGGATGTCTCGAGCGAAATGCACGACCCCACCCTGGCACGACCATACCCCAGCACGACCACACCCCAGCACGACCAGACCCCAGCACGACCCCACCCCAGCACGACCCCACCCCAGCACGACCATACCCCAGCACGACCACACCCCAGCACGACCCGACCCCAGCACGACCCTACCCCAGCAAGACCACACCCAAGCACGACCACACCCCAGCACGACCTCACCACAGCACGACCACACCCCAGCACGACCACGCCCCAGCACGACCACGCCCCAGCACGACCACACCCCAGCACGACCACCCCCCAGCACGACCACCCCCCCGGCACGACCACCCCCCGGCACGACCACCCCCTAGCACGACACACCCAGCACGGAACACTCCCAGCCGACCACACCCCAGCACGGACCACACCCCAGGCACGACCACACCCCGAGCCCGACACACCCCAGCACGACCACACCCAGCACGAACCGATCGATAAATCACAGGGGCGTGAGCCACCCAGCACGAACCCCACACCTAGCACGAACCCAACCCCAGCACGACCCCACCCAGCACGACCACGCCCCAGCATTGACCAAACCCAGACGACACACCCCAGCAACGGACCACTCCCCAGGCACGGACCCACCCCAGCACGACCCCCCTAGCCCGACCACACCCCAGCCACGTACCACACCCCAGCACGGACCCACCCCAGCACGATCCCACCCAGCACGGACCCCACCCCAGCACGACCCCACCCCAGCACGACCACACCCCAGCACGACCTCTCCACAGCACGACCCCACCCCAGCACGACAACGCCCCAGCACGACCACGCCCCAGCACGACCACGCCCCAGCACGACCACACCCCAGCACGACCACACCCCAGCACGACCACCCCCCAGCACGACCACGCCCCAGCACCACCACGCCCCAGCAAGACCACCCCCCAGCACGACCACAGACGAGGAGACCACTCCACCAGAACGACGACCACCGCCTTGGTTGATTGGTTGCCTGTCGTCGTGGAATGATTGGTGGGGGTCTCTGGCATGTTTGCATCAGGTTCCTCTACTGGCGTTGGTGGGTTTCGTGAGGTGTCTCGTGGAATGTTTCGTGTGGTGTCTCGTGGTCTGTTTCGTGAGGTGTCTCGTGGGATGTTTCGTGAGGTGTTGCCCAGTTGGGTATCATGAAAACGTGTCCATGCTCCACATGTCTATATCCCTTTCCGGGTTCGTGGGTCCATCATGTTTTTAGTACTAAATCGTTGCCTGCATTTTTAATACATGATCCGCACGCGGAGCATGTATTAAAAACGGCACTGTATACAAAAGGGCCGTGTGGTGCCGAAGGCTCGCGGCCAAGCTGGCCGGCGGAGAGAGGGCCCTGGCGGCCTGCGCGATCCCTGGCAGCGGCGCCCGCGAACCGTCGAGGGCCTCTGCAGAG